TTACAAATTGTATATGGACAATATGCATGACACAAGCACATTATTATTAAATCATTGCGCCATGAAAGACCTTCATTTACTTCAAAGAGAAATTATACTGAACAATTTACCATGTTATGACGCATTACATTATAGAGTGCAATTTTAAAAAAAAAACAATGCAAATTTTTAACCTTGTCTTATAATTTGTGCTCAACAGTATTATGCTGTTATATACATTCTTATCTATTTTTTGTTTTCATTAATTATGATCTAATAAATGATCTAACATTTCTTATTCATTGAGTAGCCTTTTCTGTAATCTTTTACAATTTGTTGACATGTTTTTTACTTATCGAATACAGTAAAAGAATCAGCAAATTTCTGGTGATTGATAATTAAACTTTTGGTTTGAATACATTTCCCATTCAATGTATCAAATGCAAAATATATCAACTTTATTTGGAGTAATTCTTAATTTTAATGCCTTCCAAATATTAACATTATGCAACAACAGTCGTCCTATATGGCAGTGAACACTGGATAATTTCCTCAGGGATGAAGAAGAGAATTAAAGAAACAGTAATGTGGTTCTACAGAAGGAAGCTGAAAATACCTTGAAGCAAAAATGTGAGCATCGACAGAGTTTTGGAAAAAATGAAAACAAAAAGGACACTGAACACAAGGAAAATAGTTAAAATGTCTAGGGCACATAATGAGGAAAGTGGAAAACGACATATTGTGGACAGAAGATACAAAGGAAAATACCGTATAGTCTACCTAGCAAGCTTGAGTAAATGAATAGAGGAAGAAGGTTTAAGAGAGACAACAAAAAAGCAACATTTATTAAGAGCTACAAAGGACAGGGAAGTTGTGGGGAGCTATGATCCCCAAAGTCTTAAATGGACAGAGAAAAAGCATACATCTTAGGGTATTGGAAAAAGTAAACACACAAGAATTAATTACATTTTATTAAGTCAGCGGTTTGAAACGATTTTAGGCGTCTGACTATATTTCTTAGAAGGAGGTATTGTAATTATTTACATTATTTACATTGTTCAAACTTTTGTCCTCATCTTTATCGCCATATTCGCGACGTATCCTCAAGGTCACATGGCGCAATGGATAAAAGGGTTGATTGGATCCAGTGACTTGACCTAAAGATTTGTGAGTTCAGTGCCTGGCTACTGCAGTGGTGAACAAAAACTTGAAGAGTTAAGTTAGTGATAACCCGAAAAAGGCCGGAGCGTACAATGACCGAAACGTCTTGAATAATAAAGATGAACAATAGAGATGAGGACAACAGTCCGAACAATATGAATGATTTTAGATGTTTTGCGAAAAGATCAAATTTTAAGAAATTCCTACCGAGTGACATCACATTTGTATAAACTATCTGATGTTACATATTAATTGTCTCACGATGGATATTGACTGGGGTGAATACAATATCGATTAATTTGGCCTTATTTAGACCTCTATCTGTTTGACGTTTAAATGACTTGAAATAGATCTTAGCTTGAAGATATTTTATTGGTACGTACGTGAATTCTATTAACCGAGTAAAATGCTTTATATTATTACTTACAAGAGATTTGTAAGTAATAATCGAATGTGTCGCATTTGAATGCATATAGGAAGGACAGTGAACAAAGCAAGGGCAGAAAGAAACTGCGAGCAAGTTACTTGGGTTTGTGAAAATGGATGGCAGAATATGGACATGGAGGGATGGTATAGAATTAAATGTTACTTAAACTACAAATGACAGAAAGATGTTTGTTTAGTGGCGTATCAACCTCTATGGGTTATTTGTACATAGCTGAGAGCCTAATAGTTGCTACCAACCCGGGTCAGGGTGGACCTGGTAACAACAGCAATTAAGGAGTGGTTCCACGTTCCTCAAAATCTCTACTCTTATTATGCTGCCCGTTGTAGTCTATGGTCATCATCAGGAAGACAGAAAGTTGTGGAGGGCTATGATCGCCCCTATCCCGAAAAGACACAGTGCATAAATGACGACTGATTTACTACGGCTTTACGACTGGCCAATTCCGAAAGTTTTGCGGTAGATTGCTTCATTCATTCATTTGTTTTTTTATGGATTATCAAACTTCCTAGATTATTTGAAACCGAAGTATATTTTGGACTATTTTTTTTTTCGCCAGTGCATGAACAAATTTTGATAATAACAGTGATTTTTTCAGATATGTCATATTTAAACTATAGTCGAAAGAGATGAATTCACAACATTCACATGTGTATTTTCGCGTAACTGAATATAACGAACTCGACTGGAATTTGAACTCTCCGATTTCCTATTCCGGATGACTACTTATTAAATCATCCGCTCACCTCCATATAAATGATGATGATGTTTCCTCTTTTACTACCAAGTTCGTTCATGTCTTTTGAAATCATCCTATAACTAGTATTCAATTTGGGAGATGAAGGGACACTGTGCAGAAACGCTGACGATCGTAATACGGTCTGATTAATCAAGAACATCTGCGGAAACAATAGCCCTTGAAACAACTAATATTTCTTTGCTATCTATAGGAATATGTGGAGGTTATACGACATCATTACAATTTTGACAACAATCAAAGCACAAATATATCCGGGTTGGTGCCGCTAGTCATTAATTTCCAGCCTTGACAATATCAAAAGTGTTTACGTGACTTTGTGGGAGATGAACTCCGAATTCTAATTTTCCAATCAAGAAAAGAATCTGCAATGTCATTTATTCTAACTTGGCATCTTGGCTTCAGCCAATTTACCACTGACGTAATATAACTTCCTTATGGCTTTTCTATAATTGTAATTTTTCTGATTAATTTTCCTCTGTGCGACGTACACTCAGGCGCGATACTAGATTAGCGACCAGATCTCATCATCTTACAGTTAAATATAATCGTAAGTTCTGTGCTAACAGTTTTTTCTATCACACTTCCCGCTTGTGGAAGTCTCTTTTCGCTTCATGTTTCAAAGTCAAGTTTGGTCTTCAAAAATTTAAATGCAATGTCAATCGTTATTTTATGTCTTCTTAATTTCTGTTTTCGCTCCTTAATAAAGCTTTTCTTATATTCTTCCACACTCAGTAACCCGACTGCGTTTTAGTTAATTTAAAAGAACAATAAAAAAAGAGTTGAAAGTCTCTGCTACTCTCGCTGTTTCAGTGGAAAATGTTTAAACGAGTTGCATTCCTTAGTTCCACCAGTTCAGACCTTTACAGCTTAGTTCGACCATGTACACATGGTCGAATTATGTTCATTCCATTCGTATTCATTTTGTAAGAACGGCAACTTTGTGGAACAGACTCTCGAGAGAATGCTTTCCCGATTACTACAATCTTAACTTCAAATTAAATCTAGGGTAAAAAATTATCTATCGTACATATCCTCATAAAATGCACTTAATTCCGCCGCTTACATCTATACAGCTGCATTCAATAACTCTCTACCCTGAATGACTCTTTGACCATGTATTGTAAGAATATTTGGTAAAAGCTTTTATCGAATATCTCTTTCTTTCTTTCTTATTTAATCTCAATTCTTTAACTGATCTAGCTTCCACCATTTCGTCTTCATTATCTTATCCCAACATTCCAAATGTTCTCCCTCCGGCCTTCCATATTTACTGTCATACGAGTTTTGGTTATTGTACAATTCAACCACTGACGTCTTTTAGAATCGCTAACTTTCTGAAAATGACGAATAAAACATTTTATTCTGCTCAGTAGAGTTTTTCGTTTTGCTATCTTTTCCTTTCATGTCCAGTTCCCTACTAGGCTCGGAATCCTCTTTCTTAAAATGCCGATTTGCCTATCGATCTCTACATCTGTACTGAATCACCCAGAGATCAACTCATGTCCCGTTATTATAAGCATTTTTATACAAAAATCATAATTTGCAATTGTAAGCACAAAACCAACGAAACCAACTTTCTGTTCTGTATCTAATATACGTGCAAACTATGCAGGTATATATGTATATTTCCGCGTATAAGGCGACCCTTAGATAGGAACAAGTAAAAAATATCATAAATTATCATGAATGTATCCTATATCTGTAGGATAAGACAACTGTTTATGGATTATATAAAGATGATGTTATTGGAAATGTTACTGTATCATTAGAAATTAAAAATAAACGAAATAACAAAACCGATTCTGTATCATGTTTTTCATACGCACTTCCGCTAAAAGTCCCATTGTTTTATTTATGTTTCATCACGTGATCTCTTCTTCTTCTTCTTCTACATCTAAACAGTTACAAACAGCCTGGTATACTATGGCCATTTACTTATATTTCATCAACAATCACAAAATACCGATAATAACCGTATGATAATAGTACATTCCATTGCTGTGAACGCAATCGTAACTCAACGTTTACATTTTCTCAGCTAGTTTACATGGATACAAGTTGATGTAATTGATATGGAATTAATCTTCGAATAGATTATGCCAGTAGTATGTAAGGTAGAAATTGTTTTATTACTTTTATTACCAGTTTATTTGATAAGGGGAATCTTTTCATGTCTGTTATTGATTATCGCACCTAGGCCGAGGTTAGCCTAGCGACAAACATCACCCAGAATTTAAGGTTTATTTTGTAGAATTGTAGCATAAGAAATATACGGTATAATTATTTCCTAAGCATAAAATTTGAACCTATCTTTGCCTGCTTAGCTGATGAATTCAACCCTACAACTTCTTTCCCAAAGATGAAACGTTGCTTCACTCTCGCTAGTTTCATAGGAAACGCTCATATTTTTTTATTGATTTATTTTGCTTATAAACTTTTGTATGTCAATTTAAAGTCATAAAATATTTTTTTACGAATTCTTTAGATAATAAGGATTTTACTTATACATGTGCTACTAATTAAACCATATCTGGTGGAGAGAAGAGGGAAATTCATACCTTTGCCAATGGTATTTTTACGTGAGTTCAGATAACGAACCCAACTCCGATAAACAATTCCGAGCCATTATTAACTTAAGCACTCATACATCAAAGTTTACAGTACTTGGGATCCCCAAGCCGTCACCAATCTAGATACTGACCAGGCTTGACGTTGCTTAACTTTAGTGATCGCATGTGTACCGGTGTTTCAACGTGATGTGGCCATAATCTCAGACAAGCAACTTACCTTCGTTCCACTAGTTAAGAGTTGTACGCCTCCATGTCACGTACACAAGGCTGAATCATTCTCACCCCCTTTGTCTTCCATTGGTAAGGAGGAAGTTTGACTTTAACAGCTTTTTATAACTCTAAACTGTTACTTTATGGAACGAACTTACGAGCAGATGCTTCGCCGATCACTACGACATGAAGCTTTTCAAGTCTTGTGCCAAACGTTATCTATCATACATATCCTCATAATATATACACTTTTTCTTACGTCACATTCAGTATTTGAATGGCTCCTGGCCTTTGTATTGCGTGAATGATAATAAATAAATTGTTTGTTGTTATTCAATAAATTTCCATTCCATAAAATTGAATAACATTATCTATATAACCATTATCAGAATATAATTATTTAAGGTCAGGTTTACTTAAACGTTTTCCTCTCACATACTATTTTAATTTTTTGAGGAGAAAAAAATAAAAATAAAAATGGTCATCAGCTATTTCAGAGCTCCCGCGTTGCGTCCCAACCATGTTCGCTGATTGGTCAATAAATACTAAAGTGGAAATATGAACTTTACATTCGTGTGATCGTATTTTTAAACACAATTAGGGTGACGTCTGTGTGATCCTACTTTTGCACAATAGATTTAAATAGCTATACTATTTAAATCTATAGACATTTTTCTACGATTTTTAACCATGTTCTACACACTGGATGTAAAGAGTCAGCCTTCTTACATGCTTGTATCAGTTTTCCAGGACATTTAATGAAGAAGAAGATACGACCTTTACTAATCGTCTATGGTAAAATTCGAACACAAATTTCCTGGTTGGTACGAAAAGGTTCTAACCACTAAACAACATTCTCATATATACACAGATGAGAAAGACAATTAAAAACGACCTAAGATATACATGTAAATATACTAACCCAAACAATCCGATATATATATATATATATATATATATATATATATATATATATATAATTTCAATAAAGGTGCAATTAATTTACAAATTCATGAATCATTCATACAAAAAACAAATACAAAGATTAATGGTTTAATTGGCGAGAAATCCATCGTCGCAAACAATTCAAATAATATACAAAAACCCAATTAAATCATTAAACCTTTGTATTTGTTTTCGTATGAATAATTCATGAATTTGTAAATTAATTGCACTTTTATTGAAATTAAAATAACTGATCCAAGTGCAACTTTTGGATAATAAGTGCGACATTACTGTAATTATTGAACAATATAGTTCATGCCACTTTGACAAAAAATTTACCAGTAAAAAAGAATTCACTTATCACCATATTTGTACAAGAACGCACAATTGTAAAATTTAAATTCAAACTCAGCGTTGCGACTGCACGCTCCAAAAACAATAACTCATTTCTAATAGCATTTTTCGAATTACAATACATATATTTTCGTTGTCCTCTTATTACTGAGAGTAAAAACAAGAACAAAATCTATTCCATACCTGAGGATGTCTGTAGGAACAGACGAAAGCTTGTAAAAATAATAAGAACTTATGCAACAGAAATTTATAAAAACAAGGATCTTTTCATTCATAAACAGGTTCGGTTTTTTTTTATATTATTTGAATTGTTTGCGACGATGGATTTCTCGCCAATTAAATCATTAACCTTTGTATTTGTTTTTTGTATGAATAATTCATGAATATATATATATATATATATATATATATATATATATATATATATATATTCGACGCATGTGTGTCTTTCAGTTCAGTTTTTATGTTTATGTTTCGTATGAGACAATAGTCCAGACGAGGGACATTCTGAAGGCTTCACTGTCATGTATTAGCCCGAGTTTAGTGTTGGTTCTTAATTCTCACAGATGGTCGAGACGATTCTTTTCAAACTAAGTAGCAGGTGTTTCTCCAGTTTATTCGATTTTCAACAGCGAGTTCGAACTCCACTATAGGGATGTTTGCAGCAATTAAATTGTATTTAAGTTTGTCCTTGAAGCGTAACCATGAAAAAGTTGGCTATACTTGAGGACTTTCGGCATCCTATCATCATTCTTTCTAATGAAATGACCAGACCATCTGAAATGTGATAGCATCAGAAAGGATTCGATATCAGCGATATCACATTTGAGGAAAAAACCCGGGTTAGAGATTTTGTCCTGCTGTATATAACCGCAGATTTAACGATGATAGCGTTTATGAAAAGCATATCCTGACCATAGTGTGGTGAAAATGACTGCCAGATAGACACTGGTTTTCGTTTTCAGTGAAATCCCATGAACATACCATAGGCGAAACTTAAGCTTCCTAAAGGCATGGGTTACCTTTGATATTCGGTTAACTATTTCGTCATCCAAAGGCACTTGAATTGATTTTGCTTCCTAAGTACGACAATGATTTCATGTACTTCGGGTTGTTGTTGCCAACAGTAATGGGAACGATTGGAAAGGTATGGACAGGTGGATTTTTTACACCCTTGACCTGCTTAGCTGTAAACTTTGGTTGATGAACAACTTCAGATTTCTTTATGCTTATAATTAATCCGAATGCGTTGCAAACTGTGGGAAAACGATTGACGAGTGCTCGAGCTTTTCGATTGAGGTGCGTCATCAACAAACAAAAAATCACGAATAATGCTTGCTTTAAAACGTTGATGGTTATAGAGGCCGCCACTTATACGGAATTCTGAAAGCATGGTGTAAAATGACCGAAAAGAAGAGAGCGAAAAGTACAGGAGCCATGAAACAACATTTTTATGCCATTTTTTACACAGAAGGCTTCTGAAAACTCTCCATTAGAGAACAGATGCTTTCATTCCTTCATGAAACAAAATGATGACATTTAGCATACTTTCAGGTATGACAAGCTTTTTGAGTACTTTCCAGAGGGCATCTCCATTTACAGTGCAAAACGTATTGATCAGATCAATAGGGTATACAATTCATGATTCTTCTCGCGAACATTGTCAGCAACTTGACGAAGTGAAAAAAATCATATCAATGGCTCCACGACTTGAACGAAAGCCACGTTGAGATAGATGTCGTCAATGAGATATTTGATTATGCTGTTGAATATATATATATATATATATATATATATATATATAGAGAGAGAGAGAGAGAGAGACTGAAAAGGAGAATCTAATAACAATATGCCAAAGATGAGCAAACAAAATTTCTCTATCGTTTGCAATTCTTAATATTTCTGCCACGTTAATCAAATATTTGATGACATCTTACTGGCAATAGCAGTAAACTGTTCGACTTAATTAACTGTGATTGGTCAAAGATTGGCTTACATTGCATGCACATTCCGAAAAATTATGATTGGCCAGTCGTGATACTATCACTTACTGTTGGAATTCCATTGTCAATAGGCGTTAGAACTACTGCCATTGCCGAAATTTGTTCGCCAAATTGGCAACAAGGATCTATTTTGGCAGATAGTCTTGATAAGTCAAGGAATATAAAGATGGAATGGATATATATGTTTGCCTGTCTTTAAAATATCATGGAACAAGAGAATCAATATTTATCTACATCTAAAATCGAGAGCCAAATACAGATTACAATAGATAGACAGATAAGAATAGACTTTGTCTCCTCCGCAACACACACACACACACACACATCTATCTATCTATCTATCTATCTATATATATATATATATATATATATATATATATATATATATATATACAGACATACATACATTATGTGTATTTGCGTAAAAATATTTAAATTATACAAGTGAAACAATTTGTTAAAGAATATTTTGAGTTACATTTAGTCTATGCCAGACCTTTTATCTGGTTTCGATTATACATTTAAGCATAAAAGAACGATATGATAATAACGCGATCTGCCACTTTCAAAACGATAAAATTCTAATGAGATGGTTTAGACCTTTCTTAGGAAATTGATACAAGAATCTTTGGTAATGTCTTATTAAAGCCGAAAGTGCTAAGACATTGGACATTACAATCATCCAAGCCCTTGTTGCTGCTTATAGTCGCGTTGCTGAGACAGGACCCGTGGCACTAGAAAATAACAATCGGGTAAGATCGAACGCCTGATTACAAAGAAGACATTCTACAGTTGGGGATATATATGGATATATATATATATATATATATATATATATATATATATATGTGTGTGTGTGTGTATGTATAAAAGTCAACACTCAGAAGCGCAGGTTGTTTCATGCTAGACTCTATCCTCATGTCGTCAGACGATTGCGCTTAGCATGAAACAGCCTGTCGCATCTCAGTGTTGACTTCAATATTCACTTTTATATTTATATTTACATGAGCTCTATCTCTGATATTGAGCACTTTATCCCATAAATATAGCACTTAAAAATATATATATATATATATATATATATATATATATATATATATATATATATATATATATATACTAGCAGCATGGCCCCGGCATTGCTCGTGCTTGATTCAAAAATCGTACGACTCATACAGCAGTCGCTATCACTTGACTTAAAATATTTTTGCCCTTCCTTACTTTAAAAGGAGTGCCCTTTGCCGAGCTAATGTTGCTACATGCCTTACTTCTTGCCTATCTCACACTGCAAATTTTTTCTAAGCAACAGATTTAATGTTTTTTTACGAAAAAAGAACTACACAAAATGAACACAAAACGATCAGCTAAGAAAGTTAACAACAAATACTTTTTCACATACAACCCAGTTCTGCGGAATCAGACGTTGAGTTTAAGCAAGCTAATGAACCAAATGGAGTAAAGTGCCATGCAGATTTAAATTTTTCCCACTTGTGACGAATGCAGCTATCGACTTTTTCGCATGCTAGCATGCTAGTTAACATTCGTGTCAGTCAGCTGTTGGCTCTCATGCTGGCCAATAGAATCTTCCTGCCTATTCGTGGCAGCCAGCTATAGGCTCTCACTCTCGCCAGTAGAAAATGGCCGCAAACTACATGAAAACTGCCGTAGAAGCATGAAAAAATCGA